CCCCCGCCCCCGCTGCAAACCTGACTCCGCGAGCAGTACATGCTACCCACCGTGCACGAGTGGTACGACTCCGATCCGGCCGCCAACATCCTGGTCTCGATCGAGCGCCTGCTGACTCTCGCCGTCCCGAACACCTACGTCTGGCTGCTCGGTTTCTACGCCTTCTTCCACCTCACCCTAAACCTCTTGGCCGAGGTTTGTTCGTCTCGCGTGCCCCCCGACATACGCCGCACAAGCAGTAGAAACCCCGACAACTAACTGAATAGTACTTCTAGTCCCCAGCGGTGTGCATGGTGTCGAGTCATTTTTCTCAGGCCTCCTTTTGTGTCTGGATTTGTGCGTATGGTCGTGGTGTAGCTTTCGTGGCATGGAGTATGTATCCCTGGACGGATTCCGATGTTGGATTTTTTTCTTCCTAGAAAATGAATTCCACAAGGGACCTCTACGGAGTGGGCTCATGAGATACTCAGCAGTGTCATCAACGGGTGATGTAAGATGACAATAGATGGCAGGCAGCAGGACCAGCCCACAGCTGGCTGCCGGCTGCCGGTTGCCAGTTGTTCGTGGCGTTACCGGAGCTCAACACACACGGATGGCGTTTTTTTTGCTCGACCGGGCCCATCCAACCTCAACCTAACCCAACCCGAAAAAGCAAAAACAAAATAGAATCGATACGTACGTCAGTCTTGTGGTCGTGACGTTTGTTGTGTTTTTCTGTGGGGGCCTCAATTGCTGTATTGCTTGGGTCTTTTTTTTTTTCAGGTGTCGAGGTTTGGTGACCGGCTCTAACACGTACTTTGTGACTATACTAGATCGAGCCCATCGAAACTCAACCACCCAACAGCAATAAAAATTTGACCAGGTCATATTTTCTCTGTGGTGGTGACGTTTCTGTGGGCCTCAACTGCTGTATTTCCTTCCGCCTATTTTTTTTTTTCCAGGTGTTGAGGTTCGGTGACCGGCTCTTTTACCGGGACTGGTGGAACTCCAATACCATCGGCTCGTACTGGCGACTGTGGAACCTTCCGGTGCACTACTGGATGGTGAGCGCGAGCGTACAAATAGTTAACCCCAGTGCTTCGGCGAAGACGGAGATCGGAGGCCACGCAGATTGTGACTTTATGTCTTGAGCTATACCAGGGCAATGCTCGTCCCTTATGCTCACACTCAAATCCTCGTCACGATTTACGTAGACCTCGTCCGGGAGTCGTCGCCACCGTTTTTTTTTTTTTTGGTTCCGTAGCACACACGCCGAGACCCAAAACAGCGCTCGGCAACTGCAGACCTCTGCTGTTGGCTGTGCACCAGCCTGCGATATCTTCGCAGCAGCTACGGATTTTTGCTCCTACTCGCACGCATACGCCACCCAGGGGAATCATCACATCGCGAATTGAGCCAGCGCCGATTGTCCTTTTGATTTGGGTTGCCCTTTGCCTGACACTTATCTCATGGTTCCAAGCAACGCATGCTTACATCCGCGATGTTTTCGGGTTTCCCCCTCCCCAACACACACGCGCGCTTTCTTCGGTGGTTTTTCGACAAAAAAATCGAAGATTCGTCACATTTACTTCCCCTCTCTGCGCGCGGGGCTGAGCAAGAGCATGGCCTCGGGGCTGTGCTTCTTGCTCTCTGCGGTGCTACACGAGCTCCTGGTGTCGGTGCCTTTTCACATGGTGAGATGGCGATCTACGGCATGTTTGTGCTGTTGGTGGTACGGTTGAAAACGCCCTTTCACATGGCGAGATGGCGATCTACGGCATGTTTGTGCTGTTGGTGGTACGGTTAAACACGCCCTTTCACATGGCGAGATGACGATCTACGGCATGTTTCCTGTTGACACCACGATCCATGTTCCATGCTGCTCCTGGTGATATGCTCGAAGCTGAACCCCAGAATAACAACGCCTACTAGCGCGTGAAACCCGAAAGCGAAATCATGGTAGGCCGCAATCCTGTAGTCTGCTGGTCGGCCAATAGAGGCAAGGAGGTTGCATGTGTAGCCCTGCTTGGCCCTTTGAACGTGGTTATTAGTCTCCATTGTCATGACCCTGTAGCAGCCAATACCGCTCCCACGCTTGTGAGAGAGAGATGATGCAGTTGGTAAGAAAATGCTTGTTTGTTATTATTATAGTCTCTAAGGAAAAACGCCCGATTTGAGACAGGTTGGCGTGCAATCGTGAAACCGGCGGAGTGCCAACAACGCTTGGTGTCCACTCTCTTAATGGTGTCTGCTCGCCCTTCGTCTCTCCAACGCCGAAACAGGTGAAGTTTTACGCGTTCTTCGGCATGATCGGGAACGCTCCCTTGGTTCCGCTGACCAGCATGCTGAACAAAACGTTTGGCGACGATCAGCAGGTGAGATGAGTGCAGTACGTGTGCAAGTTGACCACATTTTGCCTGTACGTCGCCGTGCATGTCTGCAGAAGGTTGGGAAACAAGAGCAGTCAGCGCTCGGCCCAGCACTCGTCGAAAATCATCCTTCAGTAAGGAGAAGACCGAGGCGCCCACCTCCCATTTCGAGAGGGATACCCGAACGTGCTTCCCCACGTCGGAAACGACCTGCGGCCGAGTTAAGCCTCTTAACGCGCCGATGCCACCCACCCCTCCTTCCCGTCCTGTCCATGGCTTGATAACTAAAGGAAGGCATGCAAAACCTGAGTACATCACCCCCTACCCGTCCGCTCTCCTCGCTCCACGATTTTTGATGGACCGTATGACGAAAACGAAGGCTGGGAACTGGCTGTTCTGGGTGCTTTTCTGCGTGGTGGGGCAGCCCATGT